AATCGCACCCTATTTGGTTGCCCAGGACATATCCCCAGTCCCCAGCTCCGCCCTCCCTGCCCTTCGCTGCCAGTCCTCCCCACCCTGTCCCCAGCTCCCCCAACCCTGCCCGTCTCCGCTGGCCACCCATACCCAACTCTCCCCTTCCCTCTCAGCCCCCAGCCACACGTCCCCACCCCAGGTGCCCCTGGAGGGGGGGAGCAGCGAGTGGAGCAGACAGACGCCCCAGGGCGAGAAGCAGGGTTGCTCTGGGGAGGCAGCAGCTGGCCCCTGGCTCAGAGCTTGTGCGGATTCACCCAGCGGTAGGTACCCTCGTACTGGAACCCGACTCTCTTCATCAGCTCGTCCGCCGCGGGTGGGCCCCGGCTGGGAAAGAGCAACACCCCCAGGTTAGCACCCACAAGCAGCCCTACCGCCAAGTGTGGGGCGCAGGGTCCTTACGGGAGGTGGAGTAGGGCGGGCCCCCCGTCCCCAATCATTCACCTCCTTCCTCCGCAGCTCCAGCCGGAGACTCACCTTTCTAGAAGCTTAACTCCCACCTAAGTCAGGCTCATGCCCTGCCAGGCCCCACAGCATCTCTCCTTCTTCTCCAGCCAGGGTTAGGGATCCTGCTGGCCCCACAGCCCCCAGCCCCCCCTGCCCAGTGCCCACTGTGCCTGCTGCCCAGCGCAGTGCCCTGGGGCCTCACCTGCCGTAGCAGTACGGGATTGGTTTGATCCTCTCAGACTCCATCTTGTGCAGCAGCGGAGTAAAAATGCGCCAGGCTTCACGGAGCTCGTCACTGGGGGGTGAGGGGAGCAGCATCAGTGCCCGTGCCACTCGCAATGGCAACCGGGGGGAGGGGAGGAAGGGGACAGCATGGGGGGATGGCGACAGCCAGTGTCACATGCTGAGCAGGTGGACGCGACCCACCCGCCCCACCCTGCCAGACCCAGCCGCTCCCCCATGGTCCTCAGGGACCAGAACCCAGCTGCCCTGCCCTGCCCAGACCCAGCCGCTCCCCCATGGTCCCAGGTGCCAGCACCCACCCACCTCGCTCTGCATGGATCCAGCCCCATTACCCAGCTGTCCTGGGGATAGGGATCAGGGCCGGAGAGGCCCAGCACCCACCTGCGCACAAAGTGCATCTGGTTGCCACAGAAGACATCCAGGATGAGTCGCTCATAGGCATCTGGCAGCTTCACATCCTGGGGAGATGGAGACGTGAACTGGGGGTGTGGGGAGGGGAGGGGTTGTGTTGGGAAGAGGCGGCTGGGATGGGGGGGGGTGAGGGCTGGTTTGGCAACCATAGGCCAGGTCCAGCTCTCACTCCTCGGGCAGTGGGGGTGGGGGATGGATGGGAAGGGGGAGTGAGGGGGCTGGTGGGGGGGCAGCACTTTGTAGCAGTTGCTGTAGGTCAGGTCCAGCTTTGACCCCTTGGGCAGTGGGGGATGGAGGGAAGGGGCGGGTGAGGGGGTGGCGGTGGTGGGGTCCTGGGGCCTGCACCTTGTAGCGGTTGCCATAGGTCAGGTCCAGCTCCGTCTCCTCGGGGTCGAAGAACATGCCAGGTTTCTTGGTCATCATCTTGGTGTAGACGGCCTCGTTGGGCTGCACCCGGATCACCAGCTCGTTGCGCTTGCACTGCCGCTGGAAGATGTCGCCCGGCACGTCCCGGAACTGCAGCCGCACCTCGGCCTTGCGCTCGTTCAGGGCCTTACCACAGCGCAGCACGAATGGGACGCCTGGGGAGGACAGGTTAGAGACAGAGCTAGGGCCCCCCACCCCAATAGCACGACAGCACACATGGGGCAGGGACGGGGTGTGTAGGAGAGAGACACTCCCCAGCATGCAACACCGTGGGAGAGGGGAGGGCATCAGATATTTCCTGTCCCACTCAGAACTATCCTGTCCGGGACCACACCGTCCTGTTCTTTCCCAGGATCACCCACCCGTCCCATCCTCCCCACGGCATTGGCCCCCAGGCGCTCACTCATGCCCCCCACAGTGCTCGCTCACATCTCCGCCGGTCACCCCCCATGGCACTCATCCCCAACCCCTTCCCTTCCATGGCACTGACCCCCCCCCAGCACTCACTCACCCCCCCGATGGTGCTCACCCCCAGTCCCTTTCCCCCGGCACTCACTTACCCCCTCACGGAGCTCACTCATCCCCCTCTCCTGTGCACTTGCTCACACCCCCGCCGGTCACACCGCCACGGCGCTGGCTCACCCCCAGTCCCTTCCCCCCTGGCACTCGCTTACCGCCTGTGTTGCTGGCTCACCCCCTGCTGGTCACCCCCAGCCCCTTTCCCCCTGGCACTCACTTACCCCCCCATGGAGCTGGCTCACCCCCTGCTGGTCACCCCCCCTCGGCGCTTGCTCACCATCCCATCTCTCGTTGTCCACATACAGCACAGCGGTAGCGAAGGTGGCCGTGTTGGAGCCAGTGGGGACAGTGGGGTCATCCAGGTAGCTCTTCCGGGCCTCGCCCACCCCATCGGGGTTCCCCACATACTGGCCCAGCACCACATTGCCCAGCTGCAACTCCGAGATGCACTTCAGCACCTTCACCTGCAGCAGGGACAGATGGCTTAGGCCCCCAGCATCACCACGGGGCCAGGGAGGGCACTGGGCTGCTTGTACAGCAGCAGGGGACGGGGAGGAGCCCAGGGTAACGGGGCTCGGAGGGTGACAGGGGAAGGACTGGGGAGCACAGGGTCAGCGCCATCACACCAGGTAAGTAGCCAGTCCGGTTCAGACACATGCAGTGGCGGCTCTGGCCCACAAGAGGGCACCTCGACCCAATCCAGTAGGACAGGAGCCGCTAAGCACAGATGGAGGGGGGCCGGAGGGGCAGGGGAGGGAGGGCAGGACACCTCCTGGCACAGGCCCTGCCCTGGGTCCCAGCACTTGGTGCCAAGCGGGATTCCCCCTGGGCCAGGGCCTGGGGTGCTTGGTCCCTGTGCAGCGACCCACCTTCTCATCCCGCACGTCGTCTGAGTCTGTGGAAGCTGGTTTTTCCATGGCCACCAGGCAGAGCATCTGCAGCAGGTGGTTCTGCATCACATCACTGCCGGGAGGGGAGACGAGTCAGCGCGGGAATCACTGCCCCAGCACGACCCCCGTCTGGCCCCCCAGCACAATCCCGTCTCCTCCATCCACCCCCAATGCCCTGGATCCTTCCCTCCCAGCAGGGGGAGGGGTCAGCGTGGGAATCCCCACCCCAGCATGGCTCCCATCCAGCCCCCCAGGATGATCCCACCTCTCCTCCATCCACCCCCCCACTGCCCGGGATCAGTGGTTCTCAACCAGGGGTACGTGTGCCCCTGGGGGTACGCAGAGGTCTTCCAGGGGGTACATCAATTCATCTAGATATTTGCCTAGTTTCACAACACGCTACATAAAAAGCACTAGCAACTTCAGTACAAACTAAAGTACAATATTTATATTCCAATTGTCGGAGAAAAACACAGTTCTCACTCTTTGGTAACAGTGAGAACGTCAGCAATTTTCCAGTAATCCTGTGCTGTGCCACGTTTTTAGTTTTATGTCGGACTTTGAAAACAAGAGGTTTTTAAATGAGGTAAAACTTAGGGTACGTGAGATAAATCAGACTCCTGAAAGGGATACAGTCATCTGGAAAGGTTGAGAGCCTCTGCCCTAGATCCCTCCCTCCCAGCAGGAGGAGGGGGTCAGTGCCAGCCAGCCCGAGTATCCCCTTGCTCTCCCCAGCCGGTACCATGTCTGCCCACCCCTCCAGCAGCCAAGCCAGCACCGCTCTGCCTGCCGCCCCCACATCAAGGACAGGGGCCCCCTGCCCCGCTCACCGGATGATCCCGAACTCATCGAAGTAGCCGCCCCGCCCCTCTGTGCCAAACGGCTCCTTGAAGGTCAGGATGATGCAGGCCACATTGTCCCGGTTCCACACAGGGCCGAAGATCCGGTTCCCGAACCTGCCAGCGAGACGCAGAGCCTGTCTGAGGGGGGGAGCTACTATGCTGGCAGGCTTTGGGGGGGGGTGTCTCACCCTGACAGATGGCGAGGGGCCCTTAATGCTCCCCTGCCACCCGCCCAGCTTTTCCCTTGGGAAAGGGCCCAGCCATGCTCCCCCCCGGCACTGCCCCATCTCCCAGCCAGCCCCACCTCAGCACCATGAGGTTCTGCACCATCTCCTTGCCCAGGTAGTGGTCAATGCGGTAGATCTGGTCCTCCCGGAAGAGCGACGCGATGTGATTGGACAGTTTGTTGGAGCTCTCCAGGTCCTTCCCGAATGGCTTCTCCACGATGATGCGGTTCCAACCCCTGAAGGGAGGGGAGAGCAGATGGTGTCAAACATGGCTGCAGCTAGAGAGGAACCTCGGAGCCCCCACAACTCTCCCCCACCCCATGGGGGTCTCACCCACCCGAGGCCTGTGCTCTGACCTCATCCCCTGGGCGCTCACTTAGACCCTGCCCCACTCCCATCTCTCACCCATGGCCCATGCAGCATTCCTTGATGTTGCGGGTGACGTGCTCGTAGACACTAGGGGGCAGTGCCAGGTAGAAGAGCCGGTTGGCCTTGTCCCCGTTGTGCAGTGCGTCCAGGTGGGCGTTCAGCCGCCGGAAGGAGGTGCTGTCGTCATAGGTCCCTGACACGTAGCTGTTCCGGGCAAAGAACTCCTCCAGCTTCTTCTGCTCATCCGGCTCCACCTGGAGGGAGAGGACGCAGCTGCCATCAGCTGAGGGACACGGCCCCCCTAGTCAGCTAAGGCACTGGGGGACACCCAGCCACATACCCCACCCAATCCCAGGGATAAAGGCCCTGCCCCCCACTATCAGGGGAGCTGTACCCCAGACACACACACCCCAGGGCTGGGGACCCCAGGCTCTCCCCTGCTCTGGAGAGGTGCAGGTGGGCAAGTTGAGGGGGCCACACCTTGAAGTAGGGCTGGCTCTGCTTGCGGATGTCGGCCACGGTGAGCTGGGAGCGGGCGTAGCCCACCACGTAGGTGTCATCGGGCAGGAGACCATCCCGGAAGAGCCACCTGGAAGATAGTTCAGTTGGGTCACCCGACGCCAGACCACTGAGGCACCGGGTCACCACCACACAGCCCCGGCTGGGTGGGGGCGGGGGGGGGGGCGGGAAGAGGGACTTACCAGATGGTTGGGTAGATCTTCTTCTTGGCCAAGTCACCCTGGAACAGACAAAGGGGATGTCATAGCAGCAAACAGGCAGGGAAAGGCCCTGTGCCCCATTCCCACCTCCCTGCCCTGGGGCTGGATGGGAGCTGGTGCCCCCTAGAGGGGAAAGGCCCTGTGCCCCATTCCCTGCCCCCCCTGAGTCAGCCAGTCCCTGCCCTGGAGCCAGATCAGAGCCAGCGCCCCCTACGGGGAAAGGCCTCATATCCAATTCCCCACCCCTCTCTGCATGACACAGTCGCCCCAGGTCTACCCATACCCTCACACATCCTTTCTTTGCAGCTTTGGGCCTTTACCCAGGGTGGGGTGTGGCTCTGCGGGAGGGAGGAGCTGAACTAAGCTGCCACAGTGCTGCAAGCAGGCAGGCAGGTGTACTCACGGGCTCCGTGCCAGGCCCCACATCCTGCTCACGGGTGCTGTTTGCTGGGGGGGAGGGAAGGGGAGGGGCAGATCAGGCTGATTGGGTTGCAAGTAACAGGGATTTGCTGAGTCACAGAGGCTCAGCACCCAAACGAAAGGCGGTTCTTGGTGACAGGGCGACTCCCCGGACTGAGCCACACAGACTGTCCCATTTGACCTCTGACTGACCGTGAAGTCTGTGACCGTGAAGTCTGTGCACGCAGGATGACAACATGGGCTCATTGTCTGCCGCAGCCAGTGCAAGCAAACACCAGCCCCCTGTCTGCGCCGGTAGGGATGTCCCCCAGATGGGACCACATGTTGTCTGTGGGGATGGATCCCCGTCTGTCTGTCCCACCCTGGGGGTTTGGGGGCTCTGTAGAGCCAGGCTGTCCCCTTGGGATGCTGCTCTGGGGTGGGTCAGACACAGGGGGCAAGGAGGTGGGTGCAGACACAGTGGGACCTATGGGGCGAGTTAGACACGGGGGGCGGAGCAGGGAGGATCACACTAGGTGGGTCGATTAATTCCCCAAGGGTCTAGCTCTGAGGGCTTCTCTGCCGGCTGAAAGGGTCACCGCCCCCCATCCCACCCACTAGCCCCATGCAGCACCTGCAGCGGCTTAGCTGCCTCCTGTTCAGCTAGGCCCAGCCTGGCCGAGGGTTATGCAAGTTTGTCCCGGGAGGCGGGGCGGTGGGGGGGGAGGCTCCCAGCCTGACCTAGTGTTGCTCTTATCCCATGTTGGCTCCACCCACCAGCCCAATTCAATGCAAACTGGTTCAGAGAGAGGGAGATGGGGACAAAACAAAGCAGTGAGTCACAGCCTTCCTCCCCTGCATGACTCACCGGGGCAGTGCCCCAGGGAAGGTGTCTGAGCTTGGAGCAAGTCAGTGTACATACACACAAACACACACAGAGCAGGGATGTCAGTCCCAGGTCAGGAAATGGCTGTGCAGGGCCCTGGTCAGCTAGGGGTGAAAATGAGCCAGTGAGACCCAGATGTCCGGGCCAGCCGAACCAGCACGTCCACAGCTCCCCTCCCCCACATATGACAGCAAGGACATTCGTGTTTCCCACCTGCCCTGCCCGGGAGCCAGACACCACCTTCTGCTCATTCCATGACCCAGATTTCAGCTCCCCCAGAACCTGGCCCATTTCCCTACACAAAGCCCTGGGGAAATGAACAGGAAGCCAATGAAACTCCTTATCTATCACAAACACTGATAAGCTGGCTTTCTCCTCCCTCCCTCTGCGGGTGGGGGGGGGGGGGGGGCACGTGCCAGGGATTCAGCTTGGGCCATCCCTGCCTGACCCCCAGAGACCCCAAGGGATGGCAGGGGCAGCCCCCCACCACAGCTGGCCCTGGCCCGGCTCATAGAATGGGGGCGCCTAGCTCCTGCCTGTGATTCCCTGATGTGAGAGGGGCTACAGAGGGCATCGGCTCCACTAACTTGGGGTTAACCCACTACACATGAAGCTGGGGGAATGGGAGCCAGGCTCCTGGGTTCAACTGCCCTGTGCGACTTTGGACTAGTCACCGAATCGCTCCATGCCTCAGTTTCCCCACTACAGCATAGGGACTTGTGTCCATGCAGCACGTAGCATAACAGGGGCCCTGCTTCCACTCGGGGTGGAGCGGGGGGAGTGCGTGTGATGTCCGACCCAGCCCCAATCTCTGCAAAGAGGTGTGCATTACACACCTAGGAACAAGGAGCCCACTGCACGGGAGCAGTCTCTGGAAAGCCGTGAATCTGAGAAGGACCTAGAGGGCTTAGTGAACAACCCGAGCTCCCAGGGCCACGTTGGGGATCCTGGGGTGTATCAACAGGGCAGCCGTGAGGAGAAGCAGGGAGGGGATTTTACCACCGGACACGGCCTTGGGATATTGCGTCCAGTTCTTGTGGCCACATTTTAAAAAGGCTGTGGAAAAATTGCAGAGGGCGGAGAAAGGAGCCAGAAAAATTATTCAAAGGCTGGAGAAAAATGCAAGAGCCCTAAAGGGCTCCATCTGTTTAGCATTTCAAAGGGAAGACTGATTCCAGCGCTGAGGAGAAAGGCAGCCCCAGCCCCGGGAAAGGGAAGCAGAAGCTAGAGAAATTCAGTCCAGCAATAAGGCACCTGTGGCGGTGATTAGCCATCGGAACCAGCACCCGAGTGAAGCGATGGCTTCTCCGTCTCTGCTGCCTCCCAGTCCAGCCGGGCTACCTTGCTGGAAGATGCTGGAGCCACACACAAGGTACTGGCTAACCAGGGGCCGAAGTGGGTGAGATTCTCTGGCCCGGGACACACACGTGTTGCACTAGATGTCCCACGCTGCCACGAGATAAGGGAGATTTACTTCCATGAAGCTAGCAAGGATGAGCGGTGTAGCATTGACCGTACCTAGCTACATGGAAGTAAGAGCTACGTGGGGCTCATCTGTGCCAAGACTTATAGCGATAGCCACATCCATGTGACCATACACCTCTCGCTGTACGAGGACAAAGCCCACCCACCACCAGCACCGGGGCTAGAGCAGCCTCGCTCTCCTCTGTGCACAGTGACTCAGCAGCGCCTGGCACTTCCCCTTGTGCTAACACCACGGATCCCACAGCGTGAGTGTCACCATCACAGCCCTCTGAGAGCAGAGGGAACCAGAAAGCGAGGTAGAAAATGGTTAAACTGAAGGCCCTGGAGAGGGAACTGGGGCAGTTTCAGCGAATTGGGGAGGGGGGGGCATTGGGGTGAGTGTGGGGAGGCTGGGGTGGTTTCAGGGGCCTAAAGGATGACTGTGGGGTGGTGCAGTTTTGGGGGCATCTGGGAGTGTCAGGGCAAATTTGGGGTGGTGGGTGAATTTGAGGGCACTGGGATGATCTCAGTCACACACATTTGCTTGCTGAAATCCTGCTACTGCTCACAGGATCAAGACAAGGTGGGGTCTGGCCAAGCCACAGCCAGCACCAGCAGTGCACCCAGGCCTCGGGTTTCCCCATGGCTGGGCACACAGCTAACCCCGATCTGTGCCTACAGGGATTAGCTCCCCACCCCCACCCCAAGCTGCTGCTGCTGGGCCAGGTTCCACACGGAGCTGTAATCGCTGCCTGTGTTACACAACTCGTTGCAGGAAGTTGAGTCACTCGGTGCCCGGTGCCGGGCAGCCTGGCTGCAGCCATCAGCACTAATTATCTCAGCTGGTACAATCCCTGCCCTCTCCTTCGAGCCCCGTGCGGCAGTACCCGAGTAGCCCCAAGGGAGGCTGGAGACCGGGGACAATCCTGCAGCCATGTGGTGCTTCAGGGCTGCTGTCTCTCCAGGGGAAGATCAATCTTGCCACAGCCCCCAGAGCCATGGGCCAGAGGGATTTCAGGGTCCCAGCCCACGGAAACACAGAGCCCTTTGAGTCCATCCCTGGGGACCGCTGCCCAGATCCATCCCCTCACTCAGTGCTCCAGAGAGACCTACAGGTTGCTCCTTGGCCACCCTCAGCGCTGACTGTATGCAGACTCCGGCACAGGTGACTTGGGTTAAGGCTGGAGGCGCTGCATGGGCCAGGCGCCCCAGGAGAAGGCACCGGCATGGGGCACCTGCCTGGATGGCTCCAGGCTGGGCTGTGGGTACTCACCGAGGCCCCCATGATGATGAAGATGTGGGTGTCGGACTGGAGGAAGTCCTTGCCCTGGCAGAGCTCCTCACGCATCATCCCGCACACCTGCGAGCGGCTCAGCTCCCGCTGAAGAGTCATGGTGCTTGAATTGCTGCTCCCTAAGAGCAAGAGAGAGACCAGGCCAGTTTGGGTGAGCTGGACTCCCCGCCCCTGGGAGGGCTGGCCCAGTTTGTGGCTCCCCCAGCCAGCACCCGGGGGAGCAGGGCAACAGGTCTCTGCTTGTCCAACAGGATGGGCAGATACTGAGCTGCAGGGCAGAGGAGCCCCATGGCGGAGGGGAAATGAGGCCAGGTGGGGGTGTGAGGAGAAATCCCGGGATAGGCGCAGGGGGAAGGTTCACTGTTGGGTCCTGCCTCAAGTACAGCCCCAGACACCAGAACCCTGTGCAGTCCTGCTCCCCAGTGACACCTAGCTCCAGCCCCCCCAGCTAACCACACCCACTTGCTCCTCAACCCCCAGCACCCTCCTGCCCTCCCAGTGCCCTCATTGGCCCCAGTGTCCCCCTGCTCCCCCCATTCCTACCCCCCAGTGCCCTCTAACTCCTGGTCCCCTCCCACTACTCCATGCACCCCTTGCACCTGATCTCCCCAGAGGCCCCCACCCCCAGTGTCCCCGTTCCC